TTTTTATTATTTTACTAACGCTAAATTCACCGCAAACATGTTTGTTTTAGTTATAATGATCCATTGATGATTCCTTGCTGACTGGACTTTTCCTTTAAGGCTCAGTGGTTAGGGAGTTGTTTGGGATTCAGCCAGCATAGGAAGAAAAGTGAAACAGTATTTGATGAAGATTTTCTCGAAGTAACTTTTTGGCTATGTAAATGATGTCAGCAGATAAAGCTTTGACTAAATTCTGCTATTTTAAAGATTAAAACAGGCAAATGGAACATAAGCTTAGGGATGAGAAAGTTTCAATAAAAAAACGTCTAACCGATTCTTCTTCCAGGGTAAAGTACCTCCAAAAATTCTTCTTGACCTCCAATTGTTGCAGGAAGCTCAGCTGGTAGAAGATGTATCCATTCTTAAGGTTAACTCTAACGCGTGCAGCTCTGGATACCATCTATAAACTAGTGATGTTCAAAAATTCACCTCCAGAAAAAGACTGACTGAATCTAAGAAAAGGAAGCCAATCAGTGTCCGGCTGATGAGGTCTGAAGCAGCTGGTCCGTTTCTGCCAAATCAGTTTCAGTTCGCAGGGTTTGATAAAAAACACACCAAACAACATGGGAACAAAACCATCTTTTATTTACCTGGATATTCTGTTTGAAATCAGAAAAATACAATCAGACAACTTTTTTATTTTACAATTCAAGTTTAGATCAGAGTCTTCCAAATGAAGTTCTCCAACATCCAGAACCCCGCAGCACCGCCCTCCGGCTGCTTTGGGCTGGACTTCACTGAGCTTATCGTTTCAGGAACAAACTACTGAGCTGAATTCTAGTTTAGCTTTTCTTTCAAAATGTCCATGAACGTCTTTAAGACCAACCGAAAAAGAAAAAAAAAAACACCAAACCAAGAACTCCTCGGCCTCAAAGGTTCTGGATTACAAACCCAGATGTGAGGTGGGATTATGGCAGATCCAGATGTTTGGTAGTTCTGATTCTGGTTCAGAACCAGAAAAGGTTTTACATGTCTGAGGAATCAGGTTTGGTTATTTTGGGTGTTCTCAATACAAACATGAGAAAGGAGTTCTCATTTTAAGCGTTTTCAATCAGCGTAACACAATCCTACAGCTTCAAAAGCTTGAAACAGCTAAATTCCCAGACAAGCTGCCGTCTTTAGTCAAAGTGCTGCTTTCTATGTTTGGTGGATCATCTTTGTGATCCTTTAAATAAAGTGACCTTTCTAAAAACAATCAAATAAAACCTTTTAGGCAGAGCAAACCACACAAAGTGCTTCAACCACTAAAAGCAGCAGAGTAAGGAAAGCCAAACAGAAACTGGCTTTCTGTGGATCATCCTTGGTCCAATCAGCTGCTGCTCCGACTGGATGATCCCATTGAACCGTCGTTATAAAGTAACCTGAGATGACGTGATGTGAATTGGAGTTATAGAAATAAACAGAATAGAACAGAGCTGCTGTTCTGCAGCCCGACTCGCGCTGAGATCAGGGAGCAGACTTTCATGGTGATCAGATGAGAACAAACAGCAGGTTCAGAAACCAGGGGCTGAATTTATCAAACTTCTCAGAATTAGTCCTGCTCACTCTAGAGTCAACAAAAAAATCTATTCATAGATCCTCAGTGTGACTCTCACTGCAAAAAACATCTTCAAATTTACAAGGTAACATTTTTTTTTTATGAATCGTATTTACCCTTAATTTGAGTTGGTAAAGAAGATGATTTGCCAATGGAAAGTAATTTTAATCTTAAAATAAGATAAATAGATAATATGCACCTGAAATAAGACATTGCAATAGTTTTTTTTCTCTTATTTAAAATCTAAACCATCTTGTTCCACTGGCAAAGTGTCTCACTTACCTACTAAATCCAAAAATGCACTCTAAAAATGACTTTAGATTAAAAATCTTTGCAGTGCTTAGCTCGTTACGACAGAACCAGGAGCTGTGAACGGACTTAAGATGATTTAAATAAATGCTTTGAATTTGCCAATCACTGAATTGATCCGATTATTGGTGGCTCTGGTGGCCCAGCATCATCTCCAGAATAGACCTTTTTCACGACAACCGGAAGCTGCGTCTGAAAGGGCTGGAGCACTTCCTGTTTTACTCTGAAAAATGTCTCTCCTCCGGTACTTTTCGTCATCCTTACATAGTTTGCCAACACTTTCTTTCGCGGATGCGGAGGAAATCGCTGCGGCGAATTCCCCCACCAACAAATCTGTGAAAGGATACAAGTTCTTCCACGAAGAATATATCCAAGGTAAGAAAAGACGTAGCTTAGCGAGCTAACCGCTAGCTGCAAGATATGAGCTACACAAACATCGTAAT